GTTCATGAGGCTCTGGGTTCAAACCACAGTACTGTCAAAAAACATCGTAGTATATTGTTGAGGGAATAATGACAAAAGTCTATGCCTGTTGAGTATAGATTTTTTTAAGTATTTTTGACCTACAGTTGATTGAATGCATATGTGGAACCATGAGTATGGAGATCTGACTGTGTACAGTTTAAGTTGACATGAAATCATTCTTCTTATCCCCCACAAAGTAAATGTTAAATGAATGTTTAAAAAATACCTATTTGAGCCAGGTGCCAGTGGCTCATGCCTATAATTTTAGTTTCTTGGGAGGCTGAGATCAGAAGGATCACAATTTGAGGCCAGCCTGGGCAAATCGTTCATGAGACCCCATCTCCAAAATAACTGGAGCAAAATGGACTGAAAGTATGGCTCAAGAGGCAAGGCGTCTGCTTTGTAAATGTAACCCTGAATTCAAACCCCAGTTCTACCTAAATAAATAAATAAAAATTAAAAATACCTGTGTGAAAGGAAGCCAAGTCATTTTTCAGCCCTGGGATGCCCACCCTCCTTGGTGTTGGCGTCCACCTAATCTTGAAGGTCTCTTGGATTCTAGAAGCACCCAGTTCCTGAGGCCAAGGCTGGCCTTTCCTAGCGTCAGTCTTTCCAGGTCTGTACTGAAGTTACTGAAGGCTACTTCTTTTTTTGTGTGTGGTACTGGGATTTGAACTAAGGGCTTCACACTTGCTAGGCAGGCGCTCTACCCCTTGAGCCGCTCTACCAGCCTTGAACACCACATCTTTTTGTCTTTCCTTCTCTTTTTTACTTTGTGGATTTTAATAGCTTTATTGTGACATAATTCACAAACCATTCTATGGAGTAATTTTTAGGATTTTTACAGTTGTACAACCATCTCTATGATCTTGTCTTAGAACATTTTTGTCATCTCAAAAAGAAACCTTGAGATTGGGATCATGGCTCAAGTGTTAGAACACTTGCCTAGCAAGTAGGGGACCTTGAGTTCAAACCCCAATACCACTCCCCCCAATAAGAGTAAAAGAAAAATGCATAGGAAACCCTAAATCCATTCACAGTGACCCCCCATTTTTCTGTCTCTACCCCACCCCCAACCCTGGGCAGCTCTGTTTCTATGGATTTGCTTATTGTGGGTTAATGAAATCATACAAAATTAGGGTCGTTTGTGACTGGCTTCCTCAAATTAATTTAGTGGATGTTCTCATGGATAATCCATGCTGTAGCATATTAAAGGTATTTCTTTGCTTTTTAGAACTGAATAATATTCCAGGTTTGCATGCCACATGTCATTGGTTTAGTCATTAGAAACAGAGAGGAGTTGTTTGTTTAAAGACAGTTCTTTGTTTACTTTCCAATTTCTGATGAGAAGGGGCATCCCTAGAGACACACAGAGAGAGTGCCCCAGGGCTTCCCCTCCTCACCTGGCAGATCTGATTTTGATTTCTGGGGTTTTCTGTTGTTTTTGTTTTGTTTTGTTTTGCTTTTGGCAGTACTGGGATTTGAACTTGGACTATACCTTGAGCCATTCCACCAGCCCTTTTTTTGTGTTGTGTATTTTCAATATAGGGTCTCGTGAACTATTTCCTCAGGCTGGCTTTGAACATGGTCAAACCCCACTCTGAGGCCAGTGCTTTAGCACTGGAGCCTCTACTGTTCCAAGAAGGAGTCCTGTTCCTCCTTGGGTATCACCTTTGGTCACTGTGCCCCAGAGCCCAAGGGCTAAGATCTCTTAGCTAGTGATAACCAAATAGGAGAAACAAGTCACTATGCCTGGTCTTGTGTTCTCTCAGTCATCAGAATGTCAGGAACTATGCAGTCCACTGCTCACCATTACCATGTGGGTGGAGGTGGTGTTGCAACAGATTTCTACCTGGGCAGAATCTCTGCTCTGGCCTCTGCCCTCCTCTCTGTGTCTGGCCCTCCTGCCTCTGTGGGGAGGGCTCTAGACATAGGTCACCCCAGCTCCCCAGGGATACTGTAGAGATGGTGGAGGTATTGATCTGAATGAATGAAAATGAGGGTTTATTTAGAGAGGGAGGCTGAGTAACCAAGAAGCCCCAGAGAGCCAGCTCTGTGGTTCCTGCTCCGTCCTGGCGATACACAGATGGAAACAAGATCAGCCAGTTGTGTTACTCTGACTCATATCCGCACACACTTTCCTAACTCTGGAGACAGTGTGAGAACACAGGCCACAGCACCTGAACTAAAATCAGCAGGAGAGCAACTTCCAAGACAAGCATCTAAGATGAGACTGGCAATTGATCATCTTTCCTATGGTCCTTAAAGTGGAAGATCTCTTTCCACAGGTGTGAATATTGTCCCTTTAGCTTTCTAATTGAGTCTAATACCAGTGGATGTCTGGGGATGTTCCCTTCCTAAGGCTCCCATCTCTCCCATCTCAACTCTTCTTGCTATCCCCATAATAGACACTAGATGGAGCAAGACACCATTAGTTGACAATGAAAGCTTGAGGGCCAAATAAGAGGGTGGATCTTGAAGAATGTCAACTTCACCTGGTCTTATTTTCCTAGAATATATCTGTTTCCGGGATATATTGTTCTCATAAGTAGATTCTGTTTATAGCTATACTTATGAAGAACATATTTCTACATAGAAAGAATGTATTTTTCTTAGCCTCCCCATCTTCCCCTTTGTCTGGCTTTCTGTGTTCAGCAACAGCACCAGGGAATTGGAATGAAGACCAATTACATAATCCTCAAATGTAAGATATGAAAAACTGAGAATAAGTCCAATTAGATTCTATTGATGATTCACCCACCCCTTGGTCAGCAATTGACCTGCTCTCAGATGGAGGTGGGAGGGGTGAGATGGCCGTGTGTTAGGGAGTGCTATGGGGCATCCTGGTGTCTGCTCCCAAAGCTGTAACCATTGTTCACTCAGTGACTCTGCTTGCAGAAAGGAGCACGATATGGAAAAGGCCCCCAAAAGAAGTCAGGGCCATGACAATTAGCGGTGCCTTGAGATCCCAAGAGCAAGGACAGTCAAATTGGAATTTCAGATTTGCAAAGGAAATTCCATCCAGGACCTGAGCCTGAAATGAGAAGAGAAAAAGGCCTGTGTGGTGCAGGAAGGAACGGCTGTACAAGTCAACACAGCAGGTGGCAATGTCTGTCTGAGAGACAAAACAAAGACAGACAGGATGGGGGTTGGCCTGGCCTGGCCTGGCCTGGATGGAATAAAGACTGCTGAGCAGGGAGGGGCAGGAGGGACGGAGGACAGATGTAGAATGAGCTTTCTGGGTGGGCAGGAACCCCCAGGCCTCAGAAGCCACGGCGGACTCTCCTGGAGGCTTCTGAGAAGTACAGTGTGATACGATATAATTTCCTCTGTTTTTGTGTTTTGTTTTGTTTTGGGTGGGACTGGAGTTTGAACTCAGGGCTTCACACTTGCAAAGCAGTCACCTGCAAAGTAGGCGCTCTACTGCTTGTTCCATGCCTCCAGTTCATTTTGCTCTGGTTATTTTGGAGATGGGGTCTCAGAAACTATTTCCCTGGGCTGGACTTGAGCCTCAGTTCTCCCAATCTCAGCCTCTCAAGTAGCTAGCTAGGATTACAAGTGTGAACCACCAGCTCCTGGCTATAACTTCCTTTCGCATTCTACATTTTTCTAGAATAAGAATTGAGGTGGGGAAGAGGCAGCAGGACCAGCAGGTAGAGAAGTTCCCAGCCCTGGGTTCAGACATAGGGTTCATGACCTTACTAGCTCCATCCGTGATACCCCGATACCAGGAGCTCAAGTATTAGACATAAAGCCAAACAGACCAAGTTTCAGAAATGAGAGTTGCATCCAGATCACCTAAGTAGTCTCCACAATGGCATCTCCTACTCCACCCCAACGCTTCAAAGCAGCAACCATCCCACCCAGAATTCTCTGAGCTGCCTCTTGCCCCTCACTCAAAGACACTTAGAAACACTTGCTCCAAAACACTGCCAGGGCAAGGAGGAGGAACACCCATCACTCCACCCTTGCCCAACATGGCCTGGTCTCCACAGACAGGGACCCCTGTCTACAAGCAGTAATAGGAAGACCATACCACACACCTCCGTTTGGCTCCTTCTTTTATTCTGAAGCAGAACCTAAAAAAGGTCTGTGGGCACAGTGTCTTTCTGCCCTGGAACCCAAGCTTCCTTCAGCCTCTGTCCTGCTCCCTCCCTCTCTCTTCTCCTCCCAGCCTGGCAGACCTGCTCAATGGGTCTCATCCTTACAAGCAGCTATTTAAGGTGACTTCCTAATTGCCTTCTAAAAAAGTCACTGTCAGGTAAGATTGAAGCCCACCGTTTGCATTTAAATTGGGAGGCACTGGAAACTGGGAGCTTCACTGATAACTGGTAGAGGGTGTGAGGAGTGGCTTTAAGATACAATGCAATTCTGACCTAGCGCAGGCTGAAGGTCACAGGTCACAGGCTAGCTGGGACCCGAGCCTCGGGAGCCTGACCTCCCTGGCTCCCACATCTGCCTCCAGATGACTGACTTCCGACCTCTGGGAAGAGCTGACCTTGGGTCTGTGCTCTTGAAATAAGAGTGAGTCAGTGAAAGAAAAGTGAACAACCCTCAAGTTGGCTCTCCCAGTCCTCATGAGACCTGTGACTTTGAGCAACACTACCCAAGGGCCTGGGCTTGGGAATATCTGGCTCAGGGAGAAGGGCACATGCAGGAGGAGGACAGTGATGTCCTTTCCACCATTCACAACCTCTCAGGCAGCCTGAGCAGGGAAGCATCAGGCTGACCCTATCAGGGCCACAACTCAAGCTGGACACCCTCGGGCTGGCCTCATGGATCATGCCACAGTGGGAACTCCGCCCACCTGCATGCACACATATGGTCTGGGCAGGAGGTCTCCAGGCTGACAGTATAGGGCCTGGGGGACTTGGGGGGCTGGGTTGCAAGGTAGAAGCAAAAATCCAGAAGAGATGGAAGAGATCATCCCAAGCTGTGCTCAAGAGAGGCCCAGTGGGTGTCCTGACTCCAGCAAATTTCTAGAAGTTGATGTTCTTCAGGTTCATGGAGCAGCGGTATCTGCCATCCAGAAACCGCAAGCACAGGAGGCTGGGCAGACAGGGACAGGCGTGATGCTGGCGTTTCCGGAAGAAGGGGATCTGGGGAGAGAAGAGAGCAGCACTTTCACCACAGGAAGCAGAACTTTCGAAGGAGCCTCTGGTCACCCTACCTCCCCATTACAAATGAGGAAAGCAAGGCACAGAGTGAACCAATCTGTGAAGGAGCTAGAATTTGGACCCAGGCAGCTGTGTACATACACACCTCTCTTGAGTGCTCTTCTGTTATGTGCTGAGCTCTGCACTGGGTGCCCAGGTGCAGCTATGAAGGGACAGACTCACACCTCCCTAGGTCCAGCAGGAAACTGCCTGGATATAAATCCCAGGTCTGTATAATAATTGACAACTTGTTCAGCCTTGCTGTGCCTCAACTTTATTAACCGTAAAATGGGTTAATAGCACATACCACACATGGTTGTGAAAAGGTTGACTTTATATATTTGCAAAGACTGCTGGGCTACCCAGCCTAGTTCCTCAGCCTTCAGCCTCCTTGGCTGTGGAGGGGGTTGAGAGGGAGGCCATGATCAGGAGTGAAACTGATGGAGGATTTTCTAAATCCAAGAGAGTATGGGAGGCTATGCAGGCCAATCACCAGCTGTGCGGTAGACTCCTGGAGCCCAGGCTGAAAGGAGAAAGGTCTGAGAGTTGGCAGGCCCTGCCCCGTGCAGGCCCCTGCATCACCTGACCTTGCAAAAGCAAAGAATCATGGTTGACCTACGACCTAGGAACTAGCTGTCAGGGATTTGGAAGCAGGGTGAGTGTCTCCTTAAAGTGTGTGCTTTAGGCACCTGCTTCCATCACTCTAGCCCAGCCATGTATGGAAGGCCATTTGTCAGGCCTTATTTCATGTTCCTGAAGGGAGGTTCCTAGGGAGCAAAGGGCATTTTGGGGCCTTTCAAAATCTGAATTTGTAAGATGTGTAAGTGACTTTACGGATGACTAGTCTGCTCCCTTCAATGAACACGTGAGGCCCAAAATCACACAGCAAATCAAGGGCTGGTGGTGGCCAGCCTCCAGGTCTAACAGCTTATATGATTGGTACCATTCCTCCAAAAACAAGGAGGCAGAGCCCAAATCAGTGAAATGTAACTACAGTTGAAGTTGACACCTGAAAATTGGAGCTCCAAGAAACCTGGTATGGCGGCCCATGCCTGTAATCCCAACAGTCTAGAGGCTGAGGCAGAAGAGTCTCAAGTTTCAGTCCAGCCTGACTACATATGAGACCCTGTCTCAAAAACAAACAAACAAACATACATACATACATACATAAATGGAAAACTGTAGTTCCAATCCTGCTTTCTCATTGGCTGTGTGTGTTAAGCAAGTCACACGACTTCTCTGTACCTCAGTTTCCCCACCATGGCCCAGGGTTTCTATAAGGATTAAATCCACCTATATCCTGCCTAGAAGGTCATAGGTGGACAATGTCAAGCCCTGTACCAAAGTATACATATCATCTGCAGAGCACTAATTCGGGTGGGTGCCTGATGGTAGTGGACAGCAGGACCTCCAAGGTTGTCTGCTCCCCCTCTGACAGTCAGGAGTTAGATTTGCTGTTAAGGAATCAGAGCTGGCATCCCCCGACACTGCCCTTAGAAGCCACAGCCTCGCTGGTCTTGGCTTGAGCCAGGCCCCAGAACCCTGCTGTCTGATCAGCCCATGGTGGGCCACACACATGCATCCATACAGGCGGTGCAGCACCTTGTGGCTGCCAGGATGACACTCCTCTCCTTCCCGTCCCAATGGAGTGCACATCCTCACTCCCCGCAGCCACAGGCTGATGGCACAGCAGGTGCCTGCTCCACACTGGACATCCCGCTCACAGGCCTGCAGAAACAAGAGAGAGGGGGGAGGCCATTAGTGCCACCAAGAGAAACCAGAAGGAAAGAGCACACCCTAGAAGACCTTGTCAGGATGGGGAGGAAGTGACTGAGTGTCTCAACCTAACAGGACACCTTGAGCTGTGCTTTACTGTCCCTGCTTCCCTCCTGGGCAGGGCACTAGGGGCTCAATGGGGGCCCCTAGCCACCTGAATCTGAGGGACCACCCAGCTCCTTTGAGGCAACTCAATGGGAAGCATTCCTTTGTCAGCAAGTCCAAGGTTAAGAGGCATAGCTTTTCCCCACGCTGTAGGTGCTCAGGGATTGCTGGTGGGACTGAGTTAATTAGATCTTTCAAAGGGGGTAGGGTCCCTGATGGCTCAAGCCCCTGGGTGGACATCTCTGCCCCAACCCCTGGAATGGTGTCTCCACCACATGTTGGTGCCTCAGCCCTCAGAGGTACAGTGGACTGGTGTCTCTCCCTAGTGCTCCTCTGCCGCCCTCTCTGGCCCCTAGCTAGGGGTGGATCCCCTCCAGGTTGGGCTCCCAGAATGGGTTGTGTGGTCCTTCCTTGTTTCTGGAAGGTGCCATTTGTCAAGAAGGCCACACAACCCCACTTTACATACAAGCCAGAGCCAGGAGAATTTCAGATTCGGGTGGGACCTGATGGAGAAACATCTGACCTGTCCACTTGAGAGAACTATGTGGCTTCACTGAGCTGAAGTTCAAAGCTGGGTTTTGATTTGCTCTTGTCCAGTACAAGGCCTGGAGCACCTTTGGGTGTGGGGGACATGACAGGAACTGGAAGCTCCCAACTCCCTCATCCCAGGGTGGGGGAGGGGATGTCAAATCCCTCCATCGCCCAGAGGAGGTGTGGTTGATGGTCACCACCTCCTGCCTCCAGCCCAGCAAGGGTATGGCTCCCATCCCGGCAGTTCCCAGATAGCCACAGGCAGAGGAAGCAGACACCACTTGATTCTGCCTCTCCCTCAGGGGTGGGAAATTGTGTCCATGCTGGGAGGGAGAACATATGGCCTGGATAGTCATGATCCAAGGAGCAGTGGAGTGAGTGGTTAGGCCTGTCCTCTTCCTGAGCGTCAGCTGTGGGACATCAGCAGGACATAGAGAATGGAGGGTGGCTGGGCGCTCCTGGCTTCTGCTCAATACCCTGTTCTATCTGATCCCCTTGCTGCTCTATATGTTTCCTCTGACTGACCCTCGCTTTCTCTCATTTTGCTTCTCACTGTGCAGGTGGTGTCCCATCTTCCTCAAACCTGTCTGCCTGCTGCCACACTGGGCCAGATGTTGGAGCTGTCCCAGTGAGGTTGACCCAGGCGTCCAGGTCCACTACGTGCTCCCATCCATCACTGTGGGCAACGTGACTTCTCTTCTGCCTTCTTATCCCCAGGTCCTCAGGCCACATGACCGGAGGCCACATATAGCAGTTCACACTTACTAGGTTTAATTCTACCTTCGTATTTCTTTGGAGACCCAAAGCATTGGCTTGCCTTTTTGTTTGCTCTTCTTTTGAACAGTCTCTTTCCTTTAAAATGGAGAATAAAGTGGTCTTGGCTATGAATATTAAAACCAATCCAACTCCAAGAATTTTTTTTGTTTGGCATTACTCCTTTCCTATGTACAAAGCTGGAAGAGGTTGAAATAAAAGTTAATTTCATCTCCTTTTTTCCTCCTGCTTTTTATCTAGACAGCTCTCAGGTGAAGCATTGCTTTGGTTTTAATTAGAGTGGTCCTGCGCTGTAACAGAGCATGTGCCCATCCATACAAGAGGGATGCACAGTAAAGCTAGGCATCTCAGAGGACACCACCACCCTAGTGTTGGGACATTGAAATGCCCAGTGCCCCTGGGCTGAACCTCTGCTGGGAGACTGCATTTCAACTTGTTTGGGGAGTCCTCAGCCAATGTTGGGGTGGCCCATGATGCCCTCGGAACTCACTGGGCACAGAGTGAAAGAAGTGTTTTGAGCATCCTTGAGAGGCAGCAGAGGTGAGATGACGCAACAGCAGCTAAAGAGCTCACCAACCTTAACCAAATTAACATGTCATGTAAGTTAAAACAGGCTTCTGGACCAGATCACACATGAAAGCCAAAATTTACACAAAAGACAAATTAGGGACTGCTAATCCACTTTGTAAAGGAATCCCCTGTTACAAAACAGAAATCTTCATTTCACCAAAGAACTAAACTTCAAAATTCTCCATGCTCTCCTAATGCATTTAAAACACAAGTTGATTTACACACAGTGTCTCCAAAACCAACCCCACTTATCAGAGTGAATTCTAACTATTTTTGGAGATCACATGCAGACCCTTCTCCGAGGAGCTGTTTGATGGCTACCTCTCTCTTCCTCTTGCTTTGTGATGTGACAGAGTGTGGTTCCTGATATCTGTGCAGACCCTGACATTGTCCCAAAACCCAGACACAGAGAATGCTAGAGACTTACCCCTGTGATCACGGCACAGTCGGACACAGTTACTAGGAGGAGCATAATTGAGACTCGCATGGTACTCTCCATGGTCACCTGGGAGGAAAGGAAGACAAACACTGTTCCAATTCTTCTCACTTCCTCTGCTCAGCCTCGTGCTGGCAAGCTGGGAAGGCCAGGCTCTTGACCCCTTCCTTCTCCCAGATTTATATGATCAGATCCAGGGCTGTCTGTCAATGCTTCATCTCTGCTCTTCCCTCCCCTTCACCAACGTTATTCAGATGATCTCAGAGCACAAATGAGACCTGAATCCCTAACGATGTTGTCTCACCATGAGAACTAATAAAATCGAAGACTTTGACAGTTGCTCTAACTCTTCCAAGAACGCCGTGCTTCAGACGGTTGTACGCATTTCACTTGATTTTCTTTTCTGCCTCCGCATCCTTCTATGCTACTCCAGATAGGAGGAAGCCTTTGGTAATGAATTAAGGGATTTACGATGTCGCCATTTATCGTTCCCTGAACCAAACCGTGCAACATACAGGATTATTGATTCCTTCACATTCAAGCCAGAAAGAATTATCTGGGAATTTACATCTGGGCTCAGCACAGAGATAACTGAAAAGATGCAGTGGGTAAGGTGGAGTCCCTGGTCCTCTGAAAGGCTAGGATTCCAATGAGGAAATTCTAGACAGCGAATACAAGACCAGGCTTGTGGGTTGATGCTCCAGAGTGGCCCTCATAAGAATCTGCTTTCTAACAGACTCAGGAAAGACACCAGCAAGTATCACTTAGCACAGTGGCAGAAGATCAGCAAGCACACAGGTCCCACCCTCTTAGCAATCTGCAGAGAAGTCAGCTTGGGATGGACTGCGACTACAAGGCCCCAGTACCTACACTTCTGACCTTTTGTTGCATGGGGTGAGCATGAGAACAAACTAACAAACACAGGGAGCTCAGATACCAGTCTGATAGGAAGATGACTCTGTCACAGCCTCTCTTGCTGGGGTAAGCTCCTATTCCCAACCTTCTCCACTCTAGACAACCCAGAGAGACGTCCTGAATCCTTTATCAGGATTCTGGACGTCTCTCTACAATAATAAAAGCTAATATTTTCCGAGGTGTGTTTTTCAATGTATTAATACAGGTTAAACATGCTTGCCTAGAAAGCACGAGGCCCTGAGTTCAAGCCCCAGTACTACCACCACCACCAAAAAAATACAGGTTGAGCGTACCTAATCAGAAAAACCCAAAATGCTCTAAAATGCAGAACTTTTTGACATGATGCTACACATGGAAAATTCCATACCAGACTCTTCATTGCATTCATAAAATTATTTAAAATATTATATAAAACTACCTTCAGGCTATCTGTATAAAGTATATATGAAACATAAAGGAATTTCATGTTTAGACTTAGGTCTCCTCCCCAAGATATTTCATTATATATAATGCTAATACACCAAAATCTGCAAAACCCTGAAACCTAAAACATTTCAGGCCTCAAGCATTTGGGATAAGGGGATCTCAGTCTGAAGGTGTTACACACACGAAAAAAATAAAGATTTCTATAGTCAAAGATCTGGGAAACATCGAGTTATACATATTTAACCAGCTTCCTTCTGGAGGACTTTTCAGAGCCTTTCATATGTGTTAACATACAAAATGTCAAGTGCAAAACATAGCTTTATAGTACGTTTCCTAACAGATCCATCCACAAAGCCTTTTTTTTTTTT